CAACGAGCGCACTCAGGTGGTGCAGGAGTACGAGAACGGCAAGGCCGTGCCGAATCAGGCCGTTCTGGCGAAGCTGGAGAAGGTTTTAGGCGTCAAACTCCGTGGAAAATCAGGCAAGTAAACTTWGAAAACCGTTCCGTGTAGCAAATTCGGGCAACAGAGATCGCGTTGTGATGTGTAATTGTTCGGCTGGATAGATTTTCTACTCGTCTCTCTCTCTGAATTTTTACCTTCTTGGAAGTTGTACGGCAAGAAGATAGTGGGATTGAGCAGAATCATGGGAAGGCTTTGATTTGTAAAAAGTATGTGGATCTTCATGTGTTTCGGCCTCTCTTTGGGGGTTCATCAAATAGTTTGGATCTTGAAGTTACTCTGTAAATGTGTGTCTATTCATTTTCTCATCTAGTATAATTTGAAATTAATGTATCACAGTTAAATTAGTTTGTTTGGATTTTTTTCTTGAAAAATAAGCAAATTTATTGAAATATGGTTCTTAATCTTAATTTATTAATTGAAAATCAAAATGTAACTGGATTGAGCAAGTAATTTGATCTTGAAATTTATTTTTAAGTTAAGAACACACTAACCATTTATAACACTTGAAATCTCGGGCAACAATTCTAAACTATTTTAATTGATGACAAACAATTGAAATTATATCACTTTAAATCTCAAGCAACTATTCTAAACTATAATAGTTTGAAGAGTTCGAGCAATTATTCTAAACTATATTAGTTAAATTATTCCMTACCCATTTATAATAAACGATTGAAATTTATTTTTTAAGTTATTTCTGTGAAGGGATATTTTTACACCTAATTTTAATATAAGATAATAAATATATATTTGCAGTTTAATTTARYAGTTAAAACATCTTACTAATTTTATARAGATCGATATTCAATTTTCTATTTTGATATTTGTTGTATTTCATTTTTTAACCACMCTCGGAGAATAGTTTAGCATACAYATAATTAGTTTAGCGGACCATAAATAATATTGAGACTGAGAGTAAATAAACTTGAATTTGCTTATTGATTTACACGTAGCCAATATATATACAAGAATTAAGTACAGAAGAATAAAACTATACATTGTAACCACCKCCAACTAACTCCCAATTAACTAGGATATTAATACAATACATCCTAATAAATAATTATATATGAGGCTCTAGTTTGATTCTTGGTTCTTTTTTTTTTCATAGCTCAAAATAGGGAAGCCACATCCCTTTTTTTAGTCTAATAATCAGTGATCAACATTTGAAATGTTATCTTTTGAAGGGTAAGAATTGCTTTATCTAATTTTTTTTAGTCCAATAAATAAGAATGTAGATTCGAATTTATAACTCTTCCGTTAAAGATAGATGCATTATCTAGTTGGTATAGGTTCGGTTTGACCATTAATTTATCTATTTATAGTTGTGTGCGGGCTGTTAGGTTTATAAGTTACCTTTCAAACTTTCAACTAATATTACAAGAAAATAAAAATAAAAACTAATATTATTCAAATTTATCAAATAAAATTATGGCTAAATTGATTATTTCTTTATTTCTCTCTCTCTCTCTCTCTCTCTCTCTCTCTCTCTCTCTCTGTTCTATAAATGTACTGAAAAAAGTATTTATTTGAGACCCACAATCAAACTATTGGAAAGAAGAGAGAAACCCCAAATGGTTTTTATACGAAATTTAGAAATTATAATTTTAAAAAATCCGAGACTAAAATAGTTCAACAATTATTATCATTATTATTATTATTTTAATTCGTCCCTTATTCCATCCATTTTAATTCCTCGACTCCAAAGTATCAGAATCAACCAATAAAATTATAATTATAAGTAAAAAGAATAAATATATTCCAAATTTCCACCGCAATTTCTTCACCGCTAAATGGAGAAAAAACTACAAAAAATGGCAAATTATAAATCTTCAATCTCTTACATATCTGATAACTCCATAAAAATTATCAATGGACGATGTAAGTAACGRCGAGGGCCACCAGAAGAAGAACGTAAGCAATCCCTTGGTCAATTGCAGCGCCTGCAACAACAACAACAAAAACAACGCAAGAATTAGGGTTTCTGTTATTCGCCGATCAAACTCAGCAACAAAGAAAAATCAACGACAGAGACCGTCGGAAATTACTCACCGTCGTTCGAAGGACCCGCCGGCGCCGGCGAAATATCGTGCGAGTGCCCGTAGGCTAGTTGCAGAAGAGTCAAGAACATGAGTAATCCGGYGATCGGAACGGCGAATAGCTTCATCGAACTCATATTTTCTTTTCCGACTGAATCTAGGCGAACGATMTCTGAAAATTTAGAAAATGTTTCTCTTCTATCGATTGCGAATAGGATTCAAAACAACAGAGAAGCCGAAACTGAAGTTGAATTTGGAGATTGGAGATTGGAGAACGGAGGAATTGGGGCTTTATATGAAGGAGAGGGACAAAATTGGTAGGTTATTCGGGGAAAGAGGGGGGAAATGGACGAGTCAAGAACGCGATTTTGACTCGGCGGGCGGCTCATTGACTCGGACACGCACCCGAAAGCGACTGAAGAAGGTAAAGARGGCGCGGGCCATTTGCGAAGGCGTAGAAGTTCCGTTTCTGAATTTTAGTTGTGGTTAAAAATTATATTTGGTCACGTAATTTTGTTGAAATAAAAAATTGTAATGACTTAGATTTTGTATTTTYTAATTAGTAACAACATTTTTTTGCCATAGAACTTCTTTTAAASGATTTGATAATATTTCTCATACGCGTGGATTCATAAATTAAGGATCAAATAGATTTATAAATTGTAAAGATTTGATCATTATATTATAAAATCGATGTTTAATTTTTATAAATTGTAAAGATTTGATCATTCTATTATAAAATCGATGTTTAATTTTTATGAGATTTTAATGATACGAATCAAATTGTTGCAAAATTTAAGTTAAGAGAAATTAAATTGTTACGTATTAAAGATTAAATTGTTATCAATTTAAAATAAATCGACTAAAATCATGTTACTGAAGCATTTAAGGTAATTAATTTTTTATTCAATGTAAGTTGCATTTTGGTCACATAATTATTGTACTAAGAAAAATGTATTTTTTAATATTTCTTTATTTAATTATTTTAATGACTTTAATTTTCTTGTCTTATTTGCGGCTAATAACTTTCAACAATATTGACTTTACAAATGGACGAGAAAACGACTAAAATGTTTGTTTTATTTTAGAAACAGTTGGATGAATATGATTTATATTTCAATGAATCTAGTCGTATATTTAAAATTTTCGTCAGTATACTTTTTTACTATTGTATATATATCATCTCTAAACTTTTAAAAATTAAATAATGTCTTTGAATTTTGAATTATATATATTTTCAATTATGTAATTAATGACGTGAAATGTTTTTAATGAAGAAGGAAATTGAAATTTACATTTTAATAGTGATCCACGATCTGAAGTATTGCCAATGTGGCTATAGTTGGACAGCTAAGACATATAATACTTTATTATATTAAAGGTTTAAATCCTCGTACCTCTTATATTCTCATATAAATAGTGATATGACGTGGTATAGTTTTCTAAACTCGACATACCTTTAATAATTTTAAATTTAAAATGTCAAAAGCTCAAACCTTCCCCCAAAGTATCCCTCCTAGCCGTAGGAGATAGAATATTGTAAACTCAGTTTTAACCAAGTAGTATTCAAACACTTGTTTCACAAATTTATTTTCTACCAAATCAAATATAGATTTAACAAATTCATATCTAACAAACTATTTCGTGCAGAGCCAAACACATGCTTAACTGTTCGAACTTACGAACCAAACACACTCTTAAATGACTACTAGATTAGTTGGAAGAGGAAATAATGTGAACCTGTACCTAAAATATTTAGGAAATTGTTTGAAAAAATAATAAAGTGCAAAGTATAAAATTCGAATAAAGAATCTAGGTCTTGAATATTGTAAAAAGGTTGGGACATTTTTCAATTTAGAGGTTCAAACAAAGCTCATCCACCCAATTCCTTTTCTTTGGACACAAATTATGGAGGGTTTGACTATAAAATATTTTGCTTTAGAGTTTAGATCATATAAAACTTTAATTTTTTGATTCATGTATATTAAAAAAATAAAAATATATCTAGAAAACAAGTATCAATCTTCTATTAATCACAGCTATAAACTCATATTTGACTCATCATTATCAACTGTCTTTGCTTATACACACTTATATAAGAAATATTTTTTTAAACCACATTCTAAAAGGAAAAAACATTATACTATAAGAGGAATACGTTCATAAGATTTCTTCGATAGATTAAATTATGAGTCTAATCCATAAATTTTATAGTTATATATCTTTTAAATTAAAATTGTCAATGAAAATTGAATCATGATTCTATACAAAACATGATAATATCATTAACTAAACATATCTTTAGGATAAACGTGATGAGAAAATAACATAACAAAAGAAACAACTTTCATAAAATGAAATTCCAAACCAACAGAAAATGACATGTTAATAGGAATCACTCATCAATTTTCCAAACATATGTATTTATTTATATTGAAAGGGAGAGAGACCTATTTGTTTCAATGAACTTGGAGTCTCTTCAACACAAACATCATGTTGTTCGTGTTTTTCTTTTTTTGTTATGGTTCGTTAGAGAGATAAGTTTGAGGTCTAAATTCAATATAAAATAAAATAAAATTGAGATCGAAGATATAATTACAGACAAGATAAAATTGTCAACTTGAACATAACAATCGATTAAAACATATCGGTCAACTTACATGTACCTCAACCAATCTCACGAGACAACCGACAGACCTTACAACATTTGGTGCTGATAAACACATAGGAATTACTAGGTGGCCATCATGGCGATCAAAATATATTCWGAAATAAAAATAAAAATAAATAAATAAAAATAAAAACACAGGACAAAATGATAGACACGAATATTGGGTTTGAACAAGTGTAAAGAAAGAGCTGCAATAATTGAAGATAATGAGGTTGACAAGTAACAGAGACACACAAATAATATWACCACCAAATACCATTCCCACTCTTATTCTTCTAAGGGTAGGCCATGGAATTTTGCCATTCTTTTCTTCTCAATCCATAGCTAATCTCAACCACTTCAATATGTCCAGAAAAAGACCCCTCCCTCCCTCTCTCTCTCTCATATGGAAGCTGAAATTGTGAAAGATTACAAGGTCAAGGTTGGTAGAGAGACAAGAAAAATTGAACTGTTTATGCAACCAATGCTTGGCTGGAAATCCATGCCTTCCTAAAACAAGAAGTCTGCAAAAACGAGCTCTTTTTCGGATTTACAAACACAATAAAAGAGTTCCTTCCAATCGTCGATCAAGTTCGTGATCGTGTTGACGAACTAGATCAAATAAACAAACACAATAAAAGAGGTTCTTCTAATCGTCGATCAAGTTCATGTTGACTAGATCAAATAAATAGATAAATATGAAAAGAAGAAGATTAACCTATTGTATTCAAGAAGATCATAGGAAAAATCTATATGCCAAATCCGCAGCAAGAATGAATAATTATCAAGTGAATTTACTTTCAACAAACAATAACATACGCACATATTATATATATACCGTTGCATTCAATGTTGAGATATATATATATATATATATATATATAATCAAAGCTTTCTTTTCTTCACAAAGTTTAGGGAATTAGAAGGATATAAGTTTAAGGATTGTTACATGTATTTTGCTTCTTGCATATGCCTTTAGGAAGATTCAAGAGATTTTTTGGGAGAAAGAGCAGCCACAGGGTTGTTGGCAGGCATTGATTTTGATCGTTTCATCCACGCTGAAGACGTTGAACGATGAAGCCGACACCTAAACGAGCCTTGATGCATCGTGGGTGAGCACAAGCACTGCCCTTTCGGTGAACTGGACCTCACAGTCTCAGCATCTCTATTGCCATGTTTCGGAGACGTGGAAACTGCAACGCTAAGGCAGCCCTCAGAGGCCATATCTGCAAGTGCAAGAAATATGGAAGCTCAAAAGTATTTAAAAGAGCAAAAGATTTTCTAATCGCAATATAAATATGATCAGTATTAAGAGATTTATCCTCAAGTAGTGTGTGAGGCCAGAAGTAGTTATAATGCAATTCAAGTGGCGATATTTTGATTCTTCTTTGCTTGTCCTTTGTGAAAGCAACCATACAAAAAGGCCAACTCTATCTGTTATGCCAAAAAGTGGAATCTGGCTAAGTTCATATTTGTTTAGTATCAATAATTAGAATCATGTTGTCATTCTAGGATATAATATCAATATCTTCATTCTTCCACAATTTGCATACAAATCAAAAGAGGGAAAATAAAGATATAATTTCGAAAGTTGAAGAATAAAGACCAAAACTATGGTTATTTGCTGCTTTTGGGATTGTGGACCGTGACAAAACTTTTCCACATCAAAAGGTTCTGATCTTCCTATCTACTCATTATGGAGGATCAGATACTCCCACTCAATAATTGAAGTGGGTCATTCTCAAGAGAATTTGCCACGATAGTATTTTTTCCCCTTATATATCCGTGAGTGTAGACAAGATTCCGTGCACCTAGACTAATTTGACGAGACAACTGCTTGACCCTGCTATATGTGGTTGTCAAAATAACTCATAAAATATTAAATCTCAGGTAGATGGTCACCATGGTTTGAACCTATTCCTTCTAACCTCTTGACTATTTCTATTGGCCCTTATTGACCACTAGGCCAACACATGATGATCGAATTTGCCACCATAGTCCCGAGAGAGAGAGAGAAAAAAAAAATTTCTGATTCAACAGTTAAAAAACTCATCCTTATTTACCTTATAAAGGGAGGGAGGAGGAGAGAGAGAGAGATATTAGAATCTGAAAGGTTATCCATTGGCATAGGATCGCACAAACTCAATTTTGGATCTTATTTGATGCTTCAGTATCAGAATACTCTTGCTTTATTTTATAGCTTACCATACATGACAACAGGGATGGGCCTTCGTACATAGTCCATTTTTCAGTTCTTTGGATCTGGATAATCTGATGAAATCATTTAAATTCCAAATTGTTGAAATGATTTAAACCGTTTCTATTAGATTATATCCATATCTCGATTCTTTCATGCTTCAAAAGTAGGGTTAGACTTGACTCTACACCACTTGATAATCTAAAAACTCGTAAAATACTTGCAACTACGTACTTGCTTCTCTGTTCTCAATTCTTTTTGGATTTTCAAATATCGATAAGGCACAATAACGAAGCGAACTAATGCTCATAGGTCTAAATCAAAGTTAACAGAAGCTTACCAATTTGCAGCAAATTGATTTGAGAAAACTTATACTCCTGCTCTGCATATTGCCATTCCGTACTTCATAATTGAACAAGTTCTTCGGTATACAGAACACGTATGATAATGGCCTGCAATCGAATTACGTAGAAAGAATTTCAAATTTCAAGTGAAACTTAGATATGACAACCAAGATATTCTCATTCTCAATCACCACATAAAAAGAGGATACTTAGCTCGGCATTCGACAATTGTACTTGTCGGGCTTGCGGGCCTCGTCCTCTTCAGTATTGATATTCATCTTCCTCTTTCCTCTTTTCTTCATCTTTTTCAAAAGGATCACATGGCAAATGTTGATGGTGGTAATGGCACTTGCAGGCTGCAGCTCTAAACTAGGGAAATACAACGGCTCTACACCCTGTTTACAAGAAATAATTCAATGTGCTAATGAATTAATTATATTTATCAATTTTTAGAAATAGGCTACAGTAGAAAGTAAGAGAGACTTTTTGGGATCCTACATCTAACTGTTATGGGGAGCCACAATGAGATGGCTATCCCAATAATTCCTCTCATTGTGGCCTATCCCACTACTAAACGCATTTTAACACAAATCTTCTTTTGAGGAATTTTGGTTCTTTTCTTACTATTAAACAACGTATTAGAAACACAAGACAACCAATCAGAAATATCAACAAATTGTCCGCTCTTTGGGACCCAAGCATGTGCTAAAAACTTAAAACGTCTAAGATGAAGAGACTTTTCTAGGAATATATAAAATACACTATTTAGAGAAATGAGCTTCCATCACTATTTAGAGAAATTAGCTTCCACCATTCTTTTCCTAGCACAAAGTACATGACTCAAATACCAATAATTTGTCGAGAGATCTTCAAAATCTGCCTAAATATGTAAGCATCCACATCACCAACTTCATTTTTTTTCCCTAGAGACTCCTAAGAACTGGAACTAATTTGCTTGCCAACATAACTATAAACCACCAAAGAACCGAAATATATCAACTCAGTTTCTGTTGTGTGTGAAAATGATTATTGTCAACTATAATACAAGTTAGACTAGCATTTTTTAGAAGAGCTTCCACGGTATGCGAAACTACCATTATACCAAAAATTGAATAGTATAGGATAAATTTAATCTTGTATATATATTCTCAGTACTCCCCTCCCGTGTGTGAGCTCGAATATTAATTTGATATTAAAAACCAAATATATGAACATTTAATACTAATTAGAGAGAAGATGATATCATAATAGTTCTAGCACGACCCTCTATGACCATATAAAACTACCACTATATCAAAAACTGAAGTTAATAGAATAAGGTACCTTCAATCTTTTATATATATTCTCGCCACTGAATATAAAAAATGGAAACAAATAAGTACGAAAGAGTAACTGGTAAGAGAAATGCTACTATCGACGGACCAGGCAAAGGTAACTTCTCTGTATAACAATGTCAAATTTCATTTTCCCGAGAAGATTTTCATTTTCATCAATCCTAGTTTCAAAGTATAGTTATCAAAAGTTTAAAACTATCCAAAAGTCTGATAATGGCAGAAGCGGATAGATAAAAATCTGGCAGGATAACAAATTGGCAGAACTTCATTCTTTTTTCACAAAGTTTCCACCTGCCCCAAACTCCAAGAGTCATACAGGATTTTCTTTATTAAACTCACCCAAACATTTTAACAAGCGACCTCGGGGTAGGTGTTACTCGATTGACAGTAATTCATTCAAATTAACTCCACGATGCACCATAAGCTAGGGGTGTTTAAAGAACCCAAATTATGGACTTGCTTGAGTTTATTAGGATTCAAATTTACGGGTTGGGTTGGTTTATACATATAACCATTTTCCTAAGGAGAATATGCTATCCAGTAGAGGGCGGCCTTCTCTATGAAACAGTGTCAAACTTGGTTTTCCCAATAAAATTTCTATTGATCCTAGTTTACAAGTAGAATTATCAAAAACCTAGAACTATCCAGGAGTCTAGCGATGACAGAGGAAAATAGATAAAAAGTATCTTGCAGAATAACAAATTTGCGATACTTCATCCAAATTTTACTCCAAAATTCACGGTAAACGAGAGAAAATTRGATACCCGAGGAAGAGAAGAAACATACAGTTGGAAAATGGGAAGTCGAGAAGGTTTTCCTSGGCTGCCATGGAATGGAGATCATCTGGCTCTTTAAGCCTGACTTTTACCCTAAAAGTGAGAATCGCAGTCCAGAAATGAGCGTCGTCTCGTTGAGGAATGGCGATTCCATAGCCATTATCAAATTCCCTCCCGCCGTAAGTCATCGAAAACTAAGCTCGCTGCGCGCCTTCTCAGAAATCGGGCGAAACCCAATTGGAAAATAATAAAATAAATATTGTTTACCAATAATATGGCAACATTTGGCACTAAAAAATATGATGGTTGCATTATGGATAGGACGGAATATGTTTTAAGTGCGGTTTCGTTACCCGTAATAAAAATCAATCGGAATGAGTTGCTTACTAAAAATTTTTAAATCCAAATTAGATATTTTGATGTTATCTGTTAAAATTGTTTAAATAATAAATATCATAATTACTAATGTACACTTTCTTATTTTTAAGTAGTTATAAATATATTATATTAATATTTTTAATTAAACTAATAATCATTTTTAATCTTTATTAAAAGGAACAATACATTTTAATTTATTTTATTATATTTTATTGATAATAAATAATTTTTATTATAACAATTTTTTGATATTAGTAAATAATAAATAGTTAGAATAAAATTACATCAATTATATTAAAATAATTTTTGATTGAAACAAATTAATATGAAAAAGTATTAAATTCTATTGGATTTTATTTTTWAAAAATTTATTGATATTAACTCATAATAACAAAGTAAAATTAAATAAATGAAAATTTTAATATAAAATTGTAATGTTTTACAATAAAATCACATCAACTAATAAAAGTTTTCTAAATTCTTATTAGAATACGAATTAATAGTATAAACAAAAACTAAAATCGTAAACAATTAATTATAAAAGTGTAAGATTCGCTYCATGGGAAATTTGAAGAGATCAACGAGGTTATTTGACATGAATAAGATTACACTCATGAGTGGTGATTTGAAGTTTGAGGTAGGATCCACCAATTGATTCAATTCTTACAATTTAATAAACACCCTCGAATGGATTAAACTCTAACGTAACAAAGTTTAGAGACTAAATTTATACCAATTTRAAAGTATATGAAGTAAATATAAGTTTTAATAAAAATACAAGAACCAAAAAGAACATTAAAAAATTATAGGTTCTAAAATTAACCAAAATTTAAAATAGATGCAATAAAATAATATTTTGAAACTAGCATTTTAATGGGATATTAAAAATATTTTAGATTCAAAGTATAAAACCACATAGTGTAGATTGGTAATTTAACTTGGAGAAAAAAAGGGAGGTTTAAAAACTTTATGTTAAATGGAAGGAAGGATAGAATAAGAGATCAGGAGCACACAAATTTGTTCCCTTATCCCAAACACTACCCGCCAATATAAAATATATATATATAATAAATTAAATTCCCAAAAARGGAAGGCTCCAAACGTGGCGTTATTTCGTAAGAACCACGTGGACATCTTTTTCGGGCAGCACAGCGGCGTATCCTAAAGTAAAGGTAGGGAGCAAAATCAGCTAATGAGCGACCGAATCTAAGACACTGTTTGCCTTTGGCCCCTCTTTCTCTTGTCTCTTTATTTATTTTAATGGCGTCACGTTCCCCACGCGACTTATGGAGCGTGGTTTCCATACCCTTAACTTAAAACTTATATTTTCAATTTTTGTTCTTTTAACCCTCAAATCATCTGTTACGACACTTTAATCTTAAAATTTATTAAAAAGTAGTAATAAAATTATGTCAAAGTATTTCAAACATGTATGAAATTTTGTTAATAATTTGTAAATATAAATCAAAATAGGCATTTTTTAAAGTACAGAACACCATTTAATAATTATTACAGTTAGTTAACTTTAATTTGCTATCAACTAAAGTCACTTTTTCATGTTAGTTAGTTGATTAGACAAACTAATATTTAATTTGTTATTAACTAAAGTCACTTTTTCATGTTAGTTAGTTGATTAGACAAACTAATGTATTTATATGTGATAACTCTATATCACATTCGTTACGAGAGATTATTCTGTAGGAGAGATTTATCCATTAGTAAAATTTTCTCTCTCATTTACGTGTAATATGGTATCAGAGCAAATATAGCTCCCATGTAAAACCCTTTTTTTTTCTTTACTAATTATGCGATTTCTCGCCATTGTAGACGTATGAGGAGAAGATTGATAGCTTTCCTTTTCAATTCTCATGGCAGATAATATCTCTTTCATTTACGTGTAATAATAATATATTTATCAYAATATACAGTTTAAAAGTACGGGTCCAAAAATAAAACAAAGTCAAAATATATCATAAGTTGTTATTTGCCTAACTTTTTTAGCTATGCACTTATTTGACATTGAAAGATTTTTCAGTGGTTTATTACATTAATAGATTCTCCAAGAACCATAATTGAGTGAATGGTAAAACTTCACATAACGAAAATTATATTTTTGAATATTTTGCAATAGAAACATATAAAATAAAACAAAATGTATTTCGGTTTTTATACATTATTTTATAAATATATTGTTTGAATAAAATAATTATAGATGTGGATGTGTAAGACATTATTTTGATACAAATATTAAAATGGACAACAACCTATAAATTATAAAATACAAAAAATTATTTTAGCTTGTATAAGAACCACAATTTTCCTTTACGAAAAAAAGAATCACAATTTTCTAGTTGAACATTTTAAAAGTCTACCTAACCAATAATAGAATTATGTAACTTGACTCATATTAATTTCAGCCTTAGCCGAAAGTAATCTGTGAATTTTTTTAAAAGCTCGTAAGATGTACGCTCCATTTGGMGCGTGGGAGTGTTAGGCACTGAAATATCTTATCCAGTCTTTTGAAATCACGACGTGTACAAAACGACAATCAAGATGAAGTCCGGGAGGTGAAAATCTCCAAACCAATCAAGAAAACGAACGGCTGGATATTCGCCACGTAAATCAATGTTATTGTACGCGCCTCCCCACTATATATAACGGTGCTGCCTCACCTCTTTCAGCACTAGACGCCTTTTCCCACACCACAAGCCTCAATTTAAGAGAGGGAGAGAGAGATAAGCTTCTTTTTTTTTTCTCTGTATGGGATGGAGGCGAACAACCAAAACGACACCGTTGCGCCGTTCGTGATGAAGACTTTTCAGATGGTCAACGATCCGACGACAGACGATTTAATCGCCTGGGGAAACGCCAACAACAGTTTCATCGTCGCCGATCCTCTGGAACTCTCACGCCGAATTCTTCCCTCTTACTTCAAACACAACAACTTCTCCAGTTTCGTTCGTCAACTCAACACTTATGTAAGTCCAATTTCAATCGATTCTTGTAATTTGTGAATAATTCGTATTTGAATAGCTCAAATTTGATTTCGATTTTGCAATTTGAATTTTTTTCGGCAGGGATTCAAGAAGGTGGACCCAGATAAATGGGAATTTGCGAGCCACTGGTTTCTCCGAGGTCAGAAGCATTTACTGAAGAACATTTCGAGGAGAAGACACAATCGGAATTCGTATTTTCAAGTGAAATGTGAAGACGACGAGGAATTGGCGATGGAGATTGCGAAGCTGAAGGAGGAACAGAGGGCTTTGGAAATTGAAGTTGAATCGATGAACAAGCGAATCGAGGCCACGGAGAAACGGCCGCAGCAGATGATGGCGTTTCTCTACAAGATTATTGAGAATCCTGAGATTMTTCCGAGGATGATCCTGCAGAACCGCCGTATTCGGCAGCAGTTGG